AGGACTTAGTTTTTCACATGTGGTTTCTCCATTTTGGCTTTCTTTTTGTAAAATAAATGATGACATGGTGTAATATGTCATGTGTTGTTGTTCATCTGAGGTTGTACTTACCTACTTTTGAGAACTGATAAAGACCAGATGATTTTTATTATGTCCTGATACGTAAAGCCATAGAACTCAAAGAGGGTGTACTTTCTTTTTCACACGACTATATTATACTAAGTTATAATATGGTTTGGATTTTTAGGCTTAGTGTGATGTGGATGGAATTAGCCATCCAATGGTGGCTTATTTCATAAACCAAGTCAAAGCAAACCACGGCTTGTCACAATATATAAATGCAGTCCCAATGTACTATGCAGTAAGCTCTTCCTTCTGCACTTTTTAAATCAACAGGCATTTCAGAGCCCTTATTTAGATTGGGCTGAGAGAGAAGCAATTTTTAGATGAAACATAAAAAAAGGAAGAGGAAGAGAAAACCAAGTACAACATTCAAAGTAGGTAACATTCTGTCTGGTCTGACTCTTTCCTTTATTCAGATAAAAAGGTTTAAATGTCAGCAAATCTGCTAAGAAAACTGAAACTTGCTCTAGGCTTATTTTTCCATTTCCTCTTAACTTAATTACACCTGTAGAGTGCTTTGAGAAAAAACACATTTACAGACAGAAAAGAGCTCTAATGACTGTCAGAACTGAACTTCTTGTTTTCAAACAGTACAATGCTTGAATAACCTTCCTCAATGTGTTGGACTATATCATTCCTAACAGCCTATCAGCTCTACCTGGAAAGATTAGCTTCCTGTCTGGAACTGGTAAGAAACGCAGCAGGCCCTACATCTTCCAGAACTCGTTGCCAACATGTCCTTTCACCATGTAGTCCTAACGTATCTGGAGGGCACCAGATTAAAGAAATCTTATTTACAAGAAAGAAATGCTAGATGCAACATTATATCAAAACTGTCTTTCTTCAACCTGTTCCTTTTCAATCGTGTTGGATTACTTCATCTTCAGTAGCCACACTGGCTGGAATTGATGGGATTTCTATCTAGGGCATGTTATGTTTTACACATTCAATAATAACTTTCATTTAAAAAATCAGATTAAATCTGTTGTATAGGATCTGTTGTGCTCTGCACATCAATGGATTTACTTTAAAACATCCTAACAGGAACAAAAGTAATGCAAACAAATCCCAAATCTTGTTAGAACAATGCCTCCCCCACCCCCCATGAGAAACTAGATTACCTCCATGGATATCCGTCTGTGTATCCTGTTCCTGAGACAAACACCTGTTGGGGATTGAACTTCATCAGATGATGTTCCAGAAGCTTGGTCACTTTCACCATCTGATCCCATTTTTAGATTTTCATGTACAATATCTAAATTGAACAAAACCAATAATTATTTAACTGATATTTGAGAAAGCACCCTGCCTTATTGTTCAACAAAGATGATGTCCATCACCCTCAGTGATTGCTCTCAGGCTTTAATGCAATTCTCTGCCAGTAGAGACCAAACCAGCTTCCTCTCTATTATTCTTCTGGCAGGTGACAAATAGGTTTTTATTTAGACAGGCGTTTAGTAGTTAAACTGGTTTGTTCGTTGAAGTAGATTTTAAAGCATTAACTCTTTTTGTTTATGTGCTTTTATATATTTATTATATTTCTCCTTTTATCTGTATTTTATTGTTAGTCACTCTGTTTATCTTTGGAAAAAGGTAGAGTATAAATTCAATCAAATTAAAGATTACTAGTATTTTGAAAAGACAGAATGTTAGTTTGGTTAGAACAACTTTTGTCCTATTCCTATATCATTAATTGATAACTGATCTTTCTTTAATTTCATAATCTTTAAAAACCAAGAGTAGTAATGCACTCTTGAGACAGCAAGAAAAAAGAGCTCTATTAAACTAAAATAGACATAAAGTTATAATCTTCCAAATATTAAATTTAAAAGAAGGCATTTAGTTAAGAAATGCTAAGAAACAGAAATTGAACTTAGATAAATGTTCAGTAATAGACATCTTCAAATAGCAGCATTGGTTATTTGTACCACAGTAAATGTCAAACTCAAGATATTAAAAATTTCAGTGTCCCTGAAGAACAGAAGAAAATGACAAAAATTCTAGCATTTTTCTAATAAGAACCACCTAGTGTCTTTGAGTAACTGCTATATGCACTTTCTAGATAGAACACTGACTGGAAAACAGATGGCATATTTTGGGGGATTTTGACAAAAGTTCAGTCATCACAATGTTAAGTTTAGCAAAACTACTCTGCAAAATAATTTTGCAAAATAACTCAAGGTGTACTTTAGCAATATCCAAAAACATTGCAGCAATTTCACCTCTCCCTACCCTCTACACCTTTCCTGTTGCCATCTCCCCAACTCTCCCCTTACTAGGCATGGGCAATAGAGTCCCATTCAATTCTTCCTTTTTTGGGAGGAAAGTGTCTCTGGGAGTGCTTTGGAACACAGCACTGACCTTTAACTGCCCATAATCTTTACTTCCAGAAAAGGTTTCTGGGTCCATGTAGGGCCAGAGACATTCTGTGGGGTAAAAATGGCAGATGGCTAAGGACAAGCACTTTAAAAGATTCCCATCCAACCCAAGCACAAATTAATTTTAAAATTACAGATATTGTCAGGCGCTTTCTATAAACAAAAATTGTTGTCCATTCATCTCCAATATATATTAGATTAAACTATAAACGTCCATTAAGAAGGATTTTCAGTAATTCTTCTGATATACATCAGTACTACTAATTACTGGTAAATAGCATTTTCTAGTACTTTAATTAAAGGGAATTAAATCTGAATGAGGTATAATGTAGGTAAATGAAATGTGATATATTAAAATAGTTTTGTGTATGTGGCAATATGCATTTTAATAAGGTATATAGGAAACTCTGAGGAAGGTGAAGATATTATTTGAAAATGCCATCTATAGGTAATGTTTTGTTTTCAGAGCCAATATTCAAGACCAAACATTTTAATCACTCAGTTTTTAAGTACGCAAAAGAATCTTCTGTGACTAATGGTATTCATTTTTGTACATTACAATTCTGAAGCTGTCAGAAGTGACAGTGATTGTCTTTGGTCTGCAGAATTTGGTCTGGATTTGCTTTGGTCTGCAGAATTGCAAAAAATGGATCTTTAATCCCGAATATGCTTTTTTTTACTTGAAAAACAAAAATAATTTTTTAAATTAGGGTGCTGCACAGTAAAAATAATTCAAATTGGGCAAAAAAACCTCTTTCTTAAAGCTTATTTAATACAATTGCCTGAATGAATTAGTTACAGATGCAGGGAGTGGGCCAGACCACTCTTTACATCTCTCTCTCCTTATCAGATAAAACAGTACTCTGTTCATAAGAAATGTTTCTATATCACAAGCTTATTGACATAAAAATTACACCTCTGGGAAACCTAATTCACACAAAGAACAGGAATGTCTGTCAGTTAATTTTTCTGTAATGATGGGAAGAAGACCTCATGCACTCATGAATATTTAAGCAATATGCCATAGATTCAGTAACATAAATCCATATAATTGATTTAGACAACAACATAATTGAAAAAGGATGGCTTGCTGATAGACATAGGAAGGAGAATGGATTGGTTATAAGCTTTGGGCAAAAAGATTTTCACAGCTGTCAGTTCTAGCTAATGAGCTGAAGGTAGCCCGTATTATCTTTTCTTCCCACTTAGGAAAGTCATTCATGAATGTTTATCATGTGAATGTAGCAATACTCTCTGTGTGATTACTTAGCTTCCACTAAAGTTACCATTGTCTTTGGCCAATATCTTACTCCAGAGAGAGATGACAATTTCCATTCAAAATGAATTAATGCACAAAAGGATAAGTATTGTAACATGAAAAACAGCCTACTACTGAAGATATTTAATGTAGGGTACATGCTCTTTACTTGTGACACACTCTGACCCATACTAAATGATTTTCTACTGTTTTGTCTTGAAGCACAAGGCTTTTAGTCCTATTAGGATATTCACTCCGCATGAGTGAAGGTCCAAATATGGTTTCAGAGTCACTTTAGAATCCATGATTCTACAAACTGTCAAATAACTCCAATGGTCAAAAATTGATGCAACCGTCTGTCTCTCCAAGCACAGCAAATTGCTAATTCCACAGTCAGCCTTGCAATCTGCTACCTGACTCCCTCTGCACGGGGCCACCCTTTTTCATTTTGTAGTTTTGCTGCCTCCACAGGCTGCAAGGGAATTGGTCAGAGATATCATTATTTTTTGGGGCAGGGGGGAGGAAGGATTTGTGGACTAAAAGACCTCATTTTGCCTGGAACCATTGAAAAGAAGGAAAGTCAGCCCTTCTTGAAGAGCTTTGAATTTTAATGCTTTTTTGACAGAATGAAGCAAGACCATTAAACCTCTATAACACTTAGTAACCTCTCAAAGAGGATGCTCCAGAGATCATAAAAGGCCTGTAGGTGAAGGTGGGGAACCTGCATGTGGACTATAAACTTCTGTTTCCCCATCTGTGCTTGGCAGTAATATCTCGCTTTGTTAAGTGTATGATATATTGCAAATCCATTGATCCACAGATTCCCGACATTCACACGTACTGTTGTAAAAAGGATGAATTCCTTTCTAATAATTATTAGAAAGGGAACTGAAAATAAGCCTGTGAACATAGTCATAGATAAATTTAAGGTACCACTACTCTTTATATACCATGTGCAGTTTTGGTCAACATTTATTTATTTATTTATTAATTATTAAATTTGTATGCCTCCCATCTCCCCAATGGGTGACTCTGGGCGGCTCACAATTAAAAATCAAAAGCCCATAAACAATAAAATACCCCATAAATAATTAAATTATTCAAT